TTAAGCCCTTCTTAAAGTGAATTGGAATAAGAAGAGCAAATGGATTGTTCTGTTATCAGAATCTTAGGAAAAGGTTGTGGACTCTGAATAGTCCAGTCCAGAGAGGAAGAGGTCCACTAGCATTTGGTTGTCTTAGAAGCTACCCCAACAACACTTGAACCAATCAGTCAAATTCTCCCCAGTCTACACAAAGGAAAATTTTGATCCCAGTGGATTGAGCAGAGGTACTCAGGGATTTTGTGAGCCAGAAGAGTAAGAACTCACTAAAAAGGGGCTTTGAATCTTCTTCCTTTGTCTTATGAGAAATTATGATCTGTGTAATCTCTGCTTATATCCTCAGTTACCAAAGGTCCAAAGAATTCAGAGGGGGATTCTAAGAGGAAGCTCAGATTACCTGGTTCTTGGCCAGATCTGTCCTCAGCAACACCCTAGCCTGGCACAACAAATTACTCATAGTCAGCTTTGAACAGTATAGTAAATAGGGGGCATTCTTCTAGTTCCACCAATCAAGAGGTTCTTCAGTACCTGCTTGAGATCCTTTAGATTTCAATATTAATTTTTCTAATATGGCTTAGTTCTCTGAGTCTCATCAGCTTTGGCAGTATGCCTGCAGTCTGAAAGTTATTGTATTTCCTCTAGAGTACCAGCAAGAGCTGCAGACAAGGAGCTCAATTTAATAAATAAATAAATGGGGGGGAGAGTTGTGGGAGGGGGACCTTGAGTTCCATTCCCAATGTATGAGTGATTAAAGATGGAGAACCCAGTATGGGACTGATGGAGCAGTGGGTACCCACTCTGGAGAAGATAAAATTATGGGCAAGGAAGTTCATTTTACCTTTTGCTTGTTACCCTTATAATACCTTTGGGCACAGTCATGTCATAGTCCTATAGGGATTACATTTTACTGTGGAGTTTTTTAATAATATAAATGTACTCAGAAACATGAAGTGCTAAAGATACTATCCAATTTACACATATACAAATATCCGTAACCTTTTATCTCTCTTATTTTTAATGAAGTAGTATATGAAATATTTCAGACAAAAGACAAATGGTATACAATATTGAGCATCAAATCATTGTTAAAAACATTTGTTAGTTCTTTTCTCCAGTTTAGATATTCACCTTTTCAATTTTAGGCATTACGTATTATTATTTGACATTTTAAAAATATTTCAAAGAATATTGACAATATTCTGTTAGATGTTGCAAATTGGTGTGTTATTCATATGAAAAAAATCAACAGGCTAATACTGTGCAGTTTAATTTGGGTATAAAACATGCATTCTGTTTAAATCATCTCATTTAATTGGATAAATGGCATTTTTAGTGATAGAAAAATCTGCTGTGTTTTAGAGGTCCTGTCATTTCATTTTACAGTTGCAGTTTGTGCAATAATTACTATTAAAACTTATTGTAAAAAATGACAAAGTTAATGTTTCATACTCAATTAAATATGTTTTCGTATATTTGTAAACTGCTTTGAAATATAAATAGTACTTTGTAAGGATTGTAATCTATCATAAATATGCTTTTGTATTTGAAAGGAGCTCAGAGTCATTGTATGATGTTTTATTAGTATTCATAGTGTAAAAGGAGGTTATTTTCAGGCTAAAGGAATTTTTGAAAAGATAATTGGGTAGACCAACATTCTCATTAACCTAATTTGCATTAAATGTGCTTCTGTGAATTGTAGTTGTCGCTTTTCCATCTGAAAGGCATGCTTTGTCACTGTATTTAAAAAGCCCAGTTAAAGGGTATATTTCATCTATAGTTTAATTCAGCAATTCTCAACCTGTGGGTCTCTGTGACCCCCAGAAACAATTGGCGGCAGTTGTTTGGGAGTGGGGAGTAACAAGTCAGCTCCTGATCCCAGAGGAGTTTTCTGCTTTAGTGAATTTGTTCAGCTGCTTTGCAGCCAATCATTCTTAGATGTTAGTCTCTAAGGTGCCACAAGTACTCCTTTTCTTTTTGCGAATACAGACTAACACGGCTGCTACTCTGAAACCATTCTTAGATGTGTAAGGCACCCCATATATCCTGGTGCCGCTGTTGCAACTTCTTTGAAGAGCTGTGGAAGCCCTTGCTTCCTTGTGGTGAATCATGGGAAATGATGCAAAGGATCTTTGGTGTTTCTGAGGAGGACCAGTTATGAATGATTATGGTGTCATAGAGAGACAAGGTGGCTTTTATTGGACCAATTTCCTTTGATGAAAGAGACAAGCTGTTAAGCTTACATAGAGCCCTTCTTGAGGGCTGGGAAAGGCACTCAGCCTACGTCTACACTTAAAATGCTAGAGTATCGCAGCTGCATGTCAGTCTGGACACTTACTACAGTGACAAGAGAGGTTCTCTCATCACTGTAGGTAATCCACCTCCCTGAGAGGGGGCGGCTAGGTCGACAGAAGAACTCTTCCATCAACCTAGCACTGTCTACACTGAGAGTTAACTGCGTCTCTCAGGGATGTGGATTTTTCACACCCCTGAGTGACATAGCCATCCCAATCAAACTTTTCAGTGTAGACCAGCCCTCAGTATGTAACAGCTAAATACAAAGTGGAAATTTTTTTGCATTAGAAGTTAATATTTTGTAAGAAACTGTTTAAGGTGAACTAGGCAGTTAACACTGCTGCAGTTGTAGGACAAAGGAGGGTTAGGGGGTTATGGTTTGTTGTAATGAGCCATAAATCCAGTGTCTTTTTTGAATCCATGATTTTTAGTGTCGAACAAAATTACGAATTCAAGCTCCCAGGCTATTATTTTGAAGGCATTGTGCAAGTTTCCTTTGACAATGAGGACTGAGAGGTTTGATGTGGAGTGATGGTTTTGTGAAAGTGTTTGCCTATGGGTGATATGGCGTTTTTGTCTTGTATCATTTTTCTGTGCGAGTTCATTTAAAAGCATGCTGATCATCTCTTTTCACCTACGTAGTTCTTATTGGGGCGTTTACTACACTAGATAAGGTACACCACAGGTGATAGGCATGGGAAAGGTACTCTTGAAATGTGTGCTGTGGGGAGCATTGATCATCGTAGTAGTGGCAATATGTCTGCAGATTTTAAACCTGTCGTTATGGCAGCATATTACATTCGTGGCTGGTCTTTGGTAATCTTACTTCTGATGATGAGTGTGGTGAGGTTTGGGGGTTATTTGAAGGCCATAAGAGTGGGTTCGGGAAAGATTTATTTCATATTTGTGGTCCCCAGCAAATATGGGTTGTAGTTGTTTAATAGTACCCTTAATGAGTTCTCTTGTGGAGCGGTTGGTGACAACTAGGAGTGTGCAGCCAGAGGGTGCATCCCTCCCCAGCCCCCGCCGATTTGAAGCTGGTTCGCTCATGGTATTTGGGATGTTTGTTCCATGATGCGATCTACTTGTCTGGTGGAATACCCTTGTTTGGTGAAGGTGGTTTTAAGTATATTAAGGTGTGTATCCCTGATTTTCTCCTCAGATAATATTCTATATTATCTTAATGCCTAGCTGTAGATAATAGATTTCTTTGTGTTTTGGGGGTAGTTACTGGATCTGTGAAGATAAGTGAGTTGATCCATGGGTTTCTTATATATAGTTCCCTGTAGGGTTCCATCACTGAAGCTGATCGTGGTGTCCAGGAAGTTGACACTGGAATGGGAGAATTCTAGAGGGAGTTTGTTGGATGGGTAGTGGTTGTTAAAGTTGTGGTAGAAGTCTATGAGGGAATTTGGGTCATCTGTCTAGAGGATGAAAATATCATTGATGTATCTCAGGTATTTCATTGGTTTTGTCATGCATGTGTCCAGAATTTCTTCCTTGAGGTGGCCTGTAAAGAGGTTGGCATATTGGGGAGACATCCTAGTATCTATGGTTGTTCCCATTGTTTGGACAAAGTATTTGTTGTTGAATGTAACGTTATTATGGGTGAGGATGAAATGGATGAGTTTGGTGATGTGTTTGGGGTGGATATCTGAGTGTCTTGTAGAAATTTGAGGCAGGCAACAATACCATCATTGTGAGGGATTTTGGTAAGTAGGGAACTGACATTGATAGTGGCAAGGATGGTATTCTAAGGGAGGTTGTTAAGCTGTGGAATTTCTGGAGGAAGTCTGTTTTTCAAGGAGGAAACTGGCCCTTTGTGTGGTGAGTAGTTTGAGGATAGTTTCTGTGAGTCCTGACATTCCTTCAGTAAGAGTGCTGTGATCAGGTATGATGGGTCTGCCAGGGTTCCCTTGTTTGTGTATCTCTGGAAGCTTGTGGGAGGTTCCTGGGATGAGTTCCTGGGGGATGAGGTTGTGGAGTTTCTCTTGGTGTTGTTTGGGGAAGGATTTGATGATATTCTTAAATTTGTGGGTGAATTGTTGTGTGGGGTCGTCTTCAACTTCTTTGTAGTAGGTGGTGTCACACGCTTCTTGGTTGACCTCATTGACGTCATCATCACAGTTGTCATAATATGAAAGATACAGAGAACCTCTTGGTTTAATTATTTCCTTTTTCAGCAGAAAATCAACTTTCACGAGTGGCTTAATTGAACATTGCCAATCACAAGTATTCAAATAATCATGAGATTTGCTTTAAAATTGTGTTGTTTTTTTTTAAAATAAGTTTGGGGTTCTTATTTGCTTTCTAAATTTTAAGCATTTAAGAGTTACTATTATATAGCATGAAGACTGGTTTTCTCTTTCCTACCGTAGTCTGTCCTTGAAAAGTTTCTCCTAAAGCTCTGTTTCATTGTTAAGCTAAAGGATATCATTTACTGACTTATCTGTGTGAAGATTCAAATATGTATATTGGTCTTGTAACTCTTTTGCAGACCAGAGCAAATTTTAGCACAATGTGGGTCTTAGCTTAGATGTGCTTTCTTAAAGGGGCCTGAATGAAAGCAATATAAAAAAATCAATGTATATATGGAGACATTGCAGGTTTTTATTCATCTGGACTTCATGAGTTTACTTTTATTGTGGGGGAGTTTTCGGGGATGCCAGTTTTGTTTAAAATTAAAGTTGCATTTTACTTCCCTTCTACAGGAGATTCCTTTACGCAGTTCCGATTTGCTGAAGAAAAAGAATGGGACACAGGAAGCATAGGCCCTAAACAGGTAACACATACGAATTATTATTCAGAAGATTTTTGTAAATGTAAAATGTTTCTGTAATTCCAGACTGGATTCCAATGCTTTTACTTCATAACTTCTCATCAAGATAAACCCCACAAATACAGCTTCATTTTTATTATGTATTTTGAGTAGCATGGTTAAAAACTTTTGCAAACTAAGTACAGTAGTAATGCACACTTAGTCCCCCAGTGCAGCCAGCATGTATTGTTGTTGTTAGAGCAACACCAATTGTTGGTGGATGATTGTTGTTGATGGATTACTATTCTGTATGCATTTTGGTATGTTTTTCTCTCTTTCTGCACCCTGTTGTGTTTTCCTCTGCTTCTAATGAGAGGCATTCAAAGCAGCAGCATGATTTAGTTGTTTGGGTTATTTTGGTGATAAAGGTTGCAAAAAGAAAAAATGAACTGTAAGATTAAAATCCATCCAGAGGAAGAAAAATTAGGGACTGTGATCTTGTTTTGCAGACCGCTGTAATAACAGTAATGTGTATTAATTGTGCCAGCAGTGGTTTTTAACATGAGCTGTTTCAGGTGGATCAGGGTGTAAGTAGGTACAAGACATCCATGTGTCAAGACATCCTAAAAGCACTTACTCTCCACCCTGATGAGGTCATAGCTATACTGGAAAGAGACAACACATCTCGGCCTCAATTTTTCTGTCTGTAAGTGGGATAATGATATTTTCTTTCCTCTGCAAAGTGCTTTGAGATCTAGGGGTGTCATAAATATAAAGGGAAGGGTAAACACCTTTAAAATCCCTCCTGGCCAGAGGAAAAACCCTTTCACCTGTAAAGGGTTAAGAATTTAGGATAATCTCGCTGGCACCTGACCACAATGACCAATGAAGAGACAAGATACTTTCAAAGCTGGAAGGGGGAGAAACAAAGGGTCTGGGTCTATCTGTGTGATGCTTTTGCCGGGAACAGAACAGGAATGGAGCCTTAGAACTAAGTAAGTAATCTAGCTAGATATACGTTAGATTCTGTTTTGTTTAAATGGCTGAGAAAATAAGCTGTGCTGAATGGAATGTATATTCCTGTTTTTGTGTCTTTTTGTAACTTAAGGTTTTGCCTAGAGGGATTCTCTATGTTTTGAATCTAATTACCCTGTAAGGTATTTACCATCCTGATTTTACAGAGGTGATTCTTTTACTTTTTCTTCTATTAAAATTCTTCTTTTAAGAAACTGATTGCTTTTTCATTGTTCTTAAGATCCAAGGGTTTGGGTCTGTGTTCACCTATGCAAATTGGTGAGGATTTTTATCAAGCCTTCCCCAGGAAAGGGGGTGTAGGGTTTGGGAAGGATTTTGGGGGGAAAGATGTTTCCAAGCGGGCTCTTTCCCGATTATATAGCTGTTAGACGCTTGGTGGTGGCAACAATAAAGTCCAAGGGCAAAAAGAAAATAGTTTGTACCTTGAGGAAGTTTCCTACGCTGGTAAAAATAAGCTTAGGAGGTTTTCATGCAGGTCCCCACATCTGTACCCTAGAGTTCAGAGTGGGGAAGGAACATTGACAAGGGGTTATTATATTAGTCTTAGTAGTAGTAGTATTTACCTAAACTTAGATTACTCTGGCCACATTCTAATACTATCTTTGCAGTCTCTTCGGGCAATTATTAATGTTCCATTTCCATGTTTCAGGTTTACTTAAGAGAGGAGAGGTTTAGCATGATGATTTCCACTTCTTATGCTATTCAGTTTGTGTTGTAGTTTTCCCCTGTTCATTCTACCAACAAACATCATCTGATTGTGACTTTGAACTCCAAATTGAACATAAGAGAAGTTAGTTTCTCAGGTTATCATACATGGAGTCCATGTGGTGTTGTGGAAAATAACTAGGGAACAGCTGTTCTGGATCTAAAGTTCTCCTGGATGGGAAACTGATGGATTTTGATTCAAAAGTCAAACATTCAAAAGTTAGGGAGATGCCAGAATTAAATTTGTGTGTGCAAGCTTAATTTGGCTCTCTTGTAACACAATGCGTATCCACAGTCTTTAATTACATGACCACAAGAACCCCTCCCTCATTCAGTGCACAGGATGGTGCTGTTGAATGAGCAGCTGTGCAGTATAAGGTGTACATTTGTAACATTGAGGGTTATTATTCATTGGAACATCTTATCAAGGATTGTGGTGGATTCTCCATCGCTACAAATTTTTAACTCAAGATTGGGTGTTTTTCTAAAAGATATATGTGCTACGAAATATTTTGTAGGAGTTCTGTGGTATGTGTTTATAGAAGAGGTTAGACTAGATGATCACAATGCTCCCTTCTGGCCTTGGAATCTATGAATATTTTGTTTCATACTGTTTATGCAACATATGATTTTAGGCCTTATTTACTGTGCACTATTCGAACCATGTTCTGAATGCAGAATTACTAATTTTCTCATGGGCTTTTCCATTGCTGTAGTATTGAGGTGCTTTACAAAGATAAATTTTATTTTCACAACATCCCTGTGAGGTAAGACAGTGGTATAATCCTCCATTTTACAGGTGAGGAGCTGAGGCACACAACGATTAAAAGTATCCATAATTTGGAGTGCACAACTTAAGGCATTTAGGACGTGATTTTTGAGAGTACTTAGCATTATATGGCATTATATATGTTCAAAGCACTCCCATTAAGTTCATTTGCAGCTGAGCACTTCGACATAGTGGACCTCATGGTCTTAGGTTGGGCACCCAGAAAACAAGGAACACACAGTTAGTGACAACCTGTGAAAAATTTGATTTAAGTGACTTGTCCAGCATCACGTAGGAACTCTCCGGTAAATGCAGGGATAGAATCCAAATCTTTATGGTAGCATTTAACTGCCTTAACCATTCACTACATACCTTACAAGCATGCCTCATCTATGGCCCCACAAAGTTGTGGGACCTCATTGTGATCCTCCTCCTAGTTGGCCATCCGTCACTCCAGGAAGAGGAAGGAGGGTATTTTGTGATTATGGGGCCTATTTCTGATTTTGCATACAATCACACCTCTGGGCAGAATCCACTGGCTCCTTAAACTCCTTTGAAGAGTGGTGAGTGGTGTCTGGGGTGCTCTTCTTGGAGTCCTACTCTGGTTCCCTCATTTTAAACCTTTGACTTCACTCCTGTTCATATTTTCTCCTTGGTTGTCCCAAGTATTCAAGTAAAGCCTGGGCTTAGTGCTTCCTCTTCCTTAGTTGAGGGGATGGGCTTTTAGTTTTGGGCAGGCCTAGACTCACCTGTCCCAGTCGTGCAAATAGTATACATCTTCCAACTTCTACTACAAAGTAGGTAGAGATTCTACAGACAACAGCTTCCTTCACTACACAATCCTGATTCATCCCCAAACACCATCCTTCTGTTCACTGAATGAGGCAGAGTACCTGTGGGAAAAAATGGTTAAAGACAGACAAGAGGACCAAAATAAGGTTGCACAGGCAACCTTAATTCTGACTTTTCCTAACTTTTGTGTTTTCAACTTTGCAACCTTAATGTTCTTTTAATGTATTTTTGTGTGTAAAAAACCCCATGCCTTCAGTTCTATCATGTGGTATCATGTTGACACCCACATGGGTCATCAGCAGGGTTGTTAAATCCACCACACAGACCTCTACCACTAGATCTCTTGAGCTAATGGAGTAACTGATAGCAATAGTGGGTTGTCACCCTCTGTGTAGACCAGCTCTAGAAGGGAGTGAGACACATACTTTGCCAGTGGGTTTCACAAATATTTGCTGATAGAAGAATGATGAGATTCAGTAATATTGGGTTCCATTCTAGGCTCTGGAGCAGGAGTGTGTTCTAATGGGCACCGACTCTTCTGTCCCTGTTCCTCCCAAGACAGACCCCTTCTGCCCTGTTCCCCTCAAATCTGTCCTTGTCTCAGTTATTCCCTACTCCAGACTTCTCATTTCAATCCCATCTCTTCACCTAGCCTCTCCCAGACTCCACTCCTCGGGCTTCTTGTCCCAGTCCCAAACCCAGCCAGTTCCAATTTTCTCCCCATCCCCCCACTCATAGTCCCTGTCCCTTCCCTCCCATTTCCTCATCAGACCTGTTTATCAACCCTTACCCCGCAATCCCTTTTCTCCAGTCTTCTGCCCACCAATCCCTACCACACAGGCTCTCGGTTCCAGTCTTCCTTCCTGGGCCTCTCCTCCAATATCAGCCCTCACACACTTTGCCCCCTTAGTTTCTTGTCCCAGACTGTTTGCTCAGCTTTTCCTAGTTCTCTATATGTATCCCAGCTAGGGTTGCCAACTTTTTGATTGTAGAAAACCACACATGCTGCCCCTGCCCCAAGGCCCTGCCCCCCACTCACTCCATCCCCCCTCCCTCCATTGCTTGCTCTCTCCCACCCTCGCTCAGTCGCTCATTTTCACCAGGCTGGGGCAGAGGGTTGGGGTGCAGGAGGGATGAGGGCTCCGGCTGGGGGTGTGGGCTCTGGGGATGAGGGGTTTTGGGTGCGCGAGTGGGTTCAGGGGTGGGGCCAGAAATGAGAGTTTCAGGGTGTGGGAGGGGGCTCCGGGCTGGGGGAGGGGTTTAGGATGCAGGGGGGTGAGGGCTTCGGCTGGGGGTGCTGGCTTTGGGGTGGGACCAGGGATGAGGAGTTTGGGTTACAGGAGGGGGCTCTGCGTTGGGGCAGGGGGTGCAGGGTGCAGGCTCCGGGCGGTGCTTACCTCAGGCAGCTGCTGGAAGCTGCTGGCATGTCCAGCTCCTAGGCAGAGGGGCCAGGGGGCTCTGCACAGTGCCCTGTCTGCAGGCGCCACCCTTGCAGCTACCGTTGGTTGTGGTTCCTGGCCAATGGGAGCTGTGGAGCTGTTGCTTGGGGTGGGGGGCACCGCGCAGAATCCTTTGGACCCTCCCGCCCCCGCGCCTAGGAGCCAAGAGGGGGGGAACCTGCTGCCACTTACGGGAGCCGTGCGGAGCCAGGGTAGGCAGGGAGCCTGCTTTAGCCCTGCTGCACTGCCAACCAGACTTAACGGCCTGGTCAGTGGTGCTGACCAAAGCCACCAGGGTCCCTTTTCAACCAGGTGTTCAAAAACTGGACGCCTGGCAACCCTAATCCCAGCTCCTCATCAGATCTGTCTGTCTGCACAGTATTTACAAGGAATGGCTATAGAATTATAAATTGGAAAGCAGTAGTCACAACAGGACAGAATAAGTGGGAAAAGGCACAAAAATAGCTATAAAATGGTTTCAGAGTAACAGCCGTGTTAGTCTGTATTCGCAAAAAGAAAAGGAGTACTTGTGGCACCTTAGAGACTAACCAATTTATTTGAGCATGAGCTTTCGTGAGCTACAGCTCACTTCATCGGATGCATACCGTGGAAACTGCAGCAGACTTTATATACACACAGAGATCATAAAACAATACCTCCTCCCACCCCACTGTCCTGCTGGTAATAGCTTATCTAAAGTGATCATCAGGTTGGGCCATTTCCAGCACAAATCCAGGTTTTCTCACCCTCCACCCCCCCACACACAAATTCACTCTCCTGCTGGTGATAGCCCATCCAAAGTGACAACTCTTTATCATGCACATTGTGTAAAGAGTTGTCACTTTGGATGGGCTATCACCATCAGGAGAGAGAAAACCTGGATTTGTGCTGGAAATGGCCCAACCTGATGATCACTTTAGATAAGCTATTACCAGCAGGACAGTGGGGTGGGAGGAGGTATTGTTTTATGATCTCTGTGTGTATATAAAGTCTGCTGCAGTTTCCACGGTATGCATCCGATGAAGTGAGCTGTAGCTCACGAAAGCTCATGCTCAAATAAATTGGTTAGTCTCTAAGGTGCCACAAGTACTCCTTTTCTTTTTATAAAATGGTTGGTACTGTTGCCTGTTAGTTGTACAAAGGACTGAAAATGGTAGAATGAAATGCAACAGTGAAATGAACATGTGTGACCTCTCATTTCATTGTAATTATCAATTGTAGAAAACTCAGTGGATTTTGTCCAAATGTGGACAAAATGGAGGTGATATATTTGATAGTTGCCATCTCTGTTAATGTACCATTTTAAAATCAAGGGTATGTGATAAAATAATTTGCATCTTTTTCATTCTTGCCAGTGATAATGGTAAATTCAGCAGCAAATATCATTGCTGTTTCTTCCTTTCTTGAACAAAAATACTTTTGCTGTTTCATGGCCTTTGTATTCTTTGGTGAATTGCTCCTTTGATCCCTTTCTTGTCTCTTGATAGAGCATCATTTATAGTAAAATATTCCTTTGAAAATTTTGAATCCTTCCTTTTATGCTATTTTGCTTCTCTGTACCACCATCATCATCTTTTCCTTTACCCTTCCCCCCCTTCTCTCTTAATCCTTCTCCATTCCATTCGCTTTCTCTTCCCTCACACACTCCAGTTCTTTGAAAAGCATTATTTACATTCAGCAGTTTTCAAAAAAAAAATAATTTTTACTTTACAATTTATCAACTCCTGGAGTTATTTAAATGTCAGAATTCCCCTTTTTCTCCTCATTCATGCTCTGTGTGCAGACTCCAGGCTCCTCTTTAGTATTTGACAAGAGTGCCAGGTTTTCTGAAGTGCTAGTTCATTGAGGTGTAATAGCTGTGTTGTCCAGGAGATTGCTTAATACTTTATTGAGATCAAAGATCTTTTGTGGCTCTGTGTGCTAAAGAATTTTCTTAGTGATGAGCACTGATGCATTTTGAATGATCACTTAATGTTGAAGAATTATAATTATTGGTACCAATGAAGTATGAGGCACAATAGGTCTTTTCTTACGCCCAGTACTGGAAATCGGACATCAGGATTTAGATATTTGAGGAGCTATTAATACTATTGCATCCAGACACTCTTCTTTGCTTTTGTTATGATTGGTTAAAATCCATAAACAGAGGTACAACTCAGGACCCTCTGTTGTCATTCGTTTTAAATAAGAGGAAGTGAGAAATAAGGCTTAAAATAAAATAAAAGGTAACAAAAGCATTACAATTGACTATAAAATATTAAACCCACCAAGTGCATTACATAACAAAGCATTTTGTAAGAGGAAGGTAAAGTGGTGTGTTTTCAAGTAACTTTCTACCTAAGCATTTGTTTCAAAAAGCTTGTAGTGTCTTTTAATGTGTTTGCACATTGGGTTGAAATATAGACATTTTAGTTTTCAAAAATTGTTCTGCATAATATCTTGAAGTTTGTTTTTGTATGGCAGCAGCTGTTAGGAAGAATGTCAGTCTTTCGGAAACATTTTTGTAAGATTGTTTTTTAAAATCCTTATATGTGCTAGAGATGTGGAATTCCAAGTAATCAACTCAGGGATAAACTTTATCCAGGTTTCAGTAAAATTCTGACAATGCTTTTAGTCATTTGAGATTGCCTGTTCTACACATGCATATGGACCAAACACCTTTTGTCATAGACTTTTGAACATTAGGTATTTTGAATATTCAATTCTCAAGCATATTTTCCCATTAAATGTAATTGTGGTGATGGCAAGTGACCTTAGCTTAAATTTCTAGCGATAGGATTATGGTTTTCAAATTTTGATGTTTACACAGAGTTTTTAAGCTATTGTTTCAGGTGAGAAGTTCAACATTACATAGGGCATTTATCGATCTAAAATCTTTTTTGGATAAGGCCATTGATTCATTAGTGAAAACTCCATTCAAAAATAATATTCACTCACTGGTTTTGGCCCTTTATCACAATCTCAACATCTTTTATTTTGGGGGTAATATTTTACCTCTGTTGCAAATCAGTACTGGCCTGATTCTTCTCCCTGGGTGAACTTCGTTTCAGAGTTCTATCATTTTTGTTTGGGCTGCCCTCAGAGACAATAGCAATCAGAATAGTAAGTTGTGATGCATGGGACGGGGTAGCTTTATTGAACAAGGGGAGCCACAATTTTGCCTTTCCTTTGGGTGTGTCAGCTCACCAAAAAACCATGTACATGTGACCTTCTGGAGCTCATACATAGTAGAAAGTTGCATAGTCCTGTCACGACCACAGATTTTGGTCTTAAGATTTAGGTAAAAACTTAGAGCATTATACTGCTGGTCCAGGATTGTTTCCTTCGGTATATCTTCATTGTATTGCCAAATAGGCATCCTAAACTTACCATCTTCAAAATCCCATTTTCTTACTCCTAGTTAGTTATTGCCTTTTAAACTACCCTAAATGATTCCTTTGCTTTGCAGGTATTTTATAAATCTACTTGTCATTTTGCCAAGCTACACTGTACATACACAGTTTTAAATTTATATATTAATCCCTACAACTCCTGAAATTATTGCAAGTGTATTATAGATTTAGGTATGTATTGCTACTGCTACCTTCCTTGTGCAGAGTTTTGGAATACAGTAACTGCTCACTTAATGCTCTAGTTATGTTCCTGAAAAATGCAACTTTAAGTGAAACAATGTTAAACAAATCCAATATTCCCATAAGATTTAATGTAAATGAGGGGGGTTAGGTTCGAAGGAAATTTTTTGGGGGCAGACAAAAGGCATTATTTAATGTACTGTGGTTGGGAGGTGCTCTTGGCTTGCCCCACACAGGCACAGCCCGCTGCAGGCAAGGATGCTAGGAAACACCTTGCGCAGCAGCAATGGCAGCTTCCCTCCAGAAAAACAGGCGCTGACGTTGCCGGGGATGCTCCAGGCCCGCCTCTTCCCATCCCTGCTCCACTCCAGGCCCACTCTTCCCACCCCCACTCCACCTCCTTTCCGGAGCATGCCGTGCCCCCGCTCCTCCCCCTCCCTCCCAGAAAGTCCTAAGCACCGTCAAACAGCTGTTTGGCAGCCGGGGAAGCGCTGGGAGGGAGCAGGAGGAGGCGGAGAAGAGGAACTTGTGCAATGCTCCCTTGTAAAGTAGCTGCTCTTCCATAGAATCTTACAAGCAGTGGACAGAGCAGGCAGCCAAACGACGTTCTGAGGGAGCATTGCACAACTTTAAATGAGCATGTTCCCCAATGGAGCAGCGATGTAATTTTGAAACAGTGTTAAGCGGGAGGATGTGAAGTGAGGAGTTACTGTATAACACATTGAAATCATTGTTAGTTTAATTTTCTTTATGCAAGTTTTCTGTGTGTTTAATTGTATTTCAGCTATCTGCACTTTACGTTGATTGCCAGTCTTTGGTCCAGGCCCTTCAGGAGCTTCCTCTGCATCTCAGGTTGAATGTGGCTGCTGAAATGGTGCAGGTAATGCTCTGGTTGCACATAAAATTACAGGAAGATTTAAATACTTCAGTAAATAGGAGAAATAAGGGCCAGGATCCTTGATGTTTTTCATAGGGTAACTACACAGTTGCAGTACTGGTTTCTGTTTTCACTATCCTTAAGAATTTTTTTTTAAATGAAACTAATTTGATATGTAATCTTTTTAAAAAAAATTAACTTCCTGATCTGATATGGCATAATGTAAGTGTTATCCAGTTTTATTAAAAAAAATTTGAGTCAGTTGTCAGAATGTGAACTGCCAGTCAAACAGCTGAAGAAAAAGGTTACTTCTATTCAGGGTATAGAAAATTAGGTAACAGCATTTCAGCAAAATGCTTTCTTCAGGCTATGGAAAACAAAATATCATTCACATAGAGGGAAGAGAACTAATGAGAGTCTTGAGTTAAAAACGGTTGTCATGAGGTTACATTTGGAGAGCAGTTTATCAGCAGCTGAAAAAATGACGACAACAAAATCAATCTGCCCTAGAAAGGGAAAGATGTATGACTCTAATAGGAAATATTTTCTTTTCTGTGGGGATGTTCAGACAATTACACAGCTAACTTCTTTCTTACTGTAGCTGAAAGGTATGTCTGCAGATATAGAGTATATAAAGGAATCTTCATATATAGTTCTTTTTCAAGTAAAGTTCTGTTCTTGCAACCAAAATGCCAAGACTAGAATTAATTTCTTTTCCCAGTATTAATTATTCCAAGGGGATGAATTTATTAGTTAAATAAACTCATTTATTTTCTTTTTCAAACAAAATAAAAGACAATCTGTGCTGTAAATGTATTTGATTCCTCCTACAATGTGTATGTGCAGATAGATAGGGTCATTCAGTGCATATTGTAATATTTAAATTAATCTTTATCTTTCTTTTGCCATTGGGCTATGCTGTGATATAACCTGTGATAGCACAATCTCCAAGAAGCTCCAAAGGAGCAAAGAAACTGCTTCTAAGTGGTTAGGTAAAGAGTGGGTATTTCTTGGTTCACTCTTTGCTACTGTTTTGCAAATTTTCTATTAATATTGCTGTCTTAACCTTTGAAAAATTAAAATATAAACTTGTCAAAACCATGTCTACATGCTGGGGTGTGTTACAGATTTACATGGTGTGTTTTATGCCCCAGTCTGTACACACTCTCTCTTTAAGTACCTCTGTTATTGGCCAGCTCAAAAGTGAGCTCCACAGCTCTCCAACGAGACTACGCTTTCTGGCTTCAGCTGTCCTGTTTTTCCCTGTGTGCTCTCCTCTGCAAGTCCCACTGAGTTCAGACTCCTGTTTAAAGATTGCTCACCATTTGGGAAGCAATAGAATCATAGAATATTAGGATTGGAAGAGACCTCAGGAGGGTCATCTAGTCCAATCCCTTGCTCAAAGTAGGACCAACACCAACTAAATCATTCCAGCCAAGGTTTTGTCAAGCCTGGCCTTAAAAATATCTAAGGATGGAGATTCCACCACCTCCCTACGTAACCCATTCCAGTGCTTCACCACCCTCCTAGTGAAATAGTATTTCCTAATATCCAACCTAGACCTCCCCCACTGCAACATGAGACCATTTCTTCTTGTTCTGTCATCTGCCACCACTGAGAACAGCATAGTTCCATCCTCTTTGGAACCCCCCTTCAGGTAATTGAAGGCTATCAAATCCCCCCTCACTCTTCTCTTCTGCAGACTAAATAACCCCAGTTGCCTCAGCCTCTCCTCGTAAGTCATATGCCCCAGCCCCCTAATCATTTTCGTTGCCCTCCGCAGGACTCTCTCCAATTTGTCCACATTCCTTCTGTAGTGTGGGGCCCAAAACTGAACGCAGTACTCCAGGTGTGGCCTCCTGAGTGCCGAATAGAGGGGAATAATCACTTCCCTCGATCTGCTGGCAGTGTTCCTACTAATACAGCCCAATATGCCATTGGCCTTCTTGGCAACAAGGGCATACTGCTGACTTATATCCAGCTTCTTGTCCACTGTAATCCCCGGGTGCTTTTCTGCAGAACTGCTGCTTAGCCAGTCGGTTCCCAGCCTGTAGCCGGACATGGAATTCTTCTTCCCAAGTGCAGAACTCTGCACTTGTCCTTCTTGAACCTCATCAGATTTCTTTTGGCCCAATCCTCCAATTTGTCTAGGTCACTCTGGACCCTATCCCTACCCTCCAGCATATCTACCTCTCCCCCCAGTTTAGTGTCATCTGCGAACTTGCTGAGGGTGCAATTAATCCCATCATCCAGATCATTAATAAAGATATTGAACAAAACCAACCCCAGGACTGACCCCTGTGGCACTCCGTTTGATACCGGCTGCCAACTAGACATGGAGCCATTGATCACTACACGTTGAGCCCAACATCTATCCAGCTTTCTATCCACCTTATAGTGCATTCATCCAATCCGTACTTTTTTAACTTGCTGGCAAGAATGCTGTGGGAGACCATATCAAAAGCATTGCTAAAGTCAAGATATATCACATCCACCACTTTCCCCATATCCAGAGAGCCAGTTATCTCATCATAGAAGGCAATCAGGTTGGTCAGGCATGACTTGCCCTTGGTGAATCCATGTTGACTGTCCCTGATCACCTTCCTCTCCTCCAAAAGCGGCAAAGAGTCCTTTGACACTTTATAGACTAACAGACGTATTGGAGCATAAGCTTTCGTGGGTGAATACCCACTTCATCGGATGCATGTGAAGTTAGTCTATAAGGGGCCACAGGACTCTGCCGCTTTTACAGATCCAGACTAACACGGCTACCCCTCTGATACTTCCTCTCCTCCAAGTGCTTCAAAATGGCTTCCTTGAGGACCTGCTCCATGATTTTGCCAGGGACTGAAGTGAGTCTGTAGTTCCCCGGGTTCTCTTTCTTCCCTTTTTAAATATGGGCACTATATTTGCCTTTTTCCAATCGTCCGGGATCTCCCCCGATTGCCATGAATTTTCAAAGATAATAGCCAATGGCTCTGCAATAACATCAGCCAATTCCCTCAGGACCCTTGGATGCATTAGATCTGGACCCATGGACTTGTGCACGTCCAGCTTTTCTAAATAGTCCTTAACCTGTTCTTTCACCACTAAGGGCTGCTCACCTCCTTCCCATACTGTGTTGCCCAGTGCAGCAGTCTGGGAGCTGACTTTGTCTGTGAAGACCAAGGCAAAAAAAGCATTGAGTACCTCAGCTTTTTTCACATCGTCTGTCACTATGTTGGGTCCCACACTATCCCTGCCCTTCCTCTTGTTGCTAACATACCTGTAGAAACCCTTCTTGTTACCTTTCACATCCCTTGCTAGCTGCAACTCCAGTTGTGCCTTTGCCTTCCTGATTACAACCCTGCATGCTCTAGCAATATTTTTATACTCCTCCCTAGTCATCTGTCCAAATTTCCACTTGTTGTAAGCTTCCTTTTTGAGTTTAAGCTCACTGAAGCCTGCTATATTTGCTATTCTTTCTGCACTTCGGGATGGTTTGTTCCTGTGCCCTCAATAAGGCTTCTTTAAAATACAGCCAGCTCTCCTGGCCTCCTTGCCCCTTCATATTAGCTTCCCAGGGGATCCTGCCCATCAATTCCCTAAGGGAGTCAAAGTCTGCTTTTCTGAAGTCCAGGGTCCGTATTTTGCTACTCTCCTTTCTTCCTTTTGTCAGGATCCTGAACTCAACCATCTCACGGTCACTGCTGCCTAGGTTGCTACCCACTTTTACTTCTCCTACCAATTCTTCCCTGTTTGTAAGCAGCAGGTCAAGAGGAGCACAGCCCCTAGTCGATTCTTCCAGCACTTGCACCAATAAGTTGTCCCCAACACTCTCCAAAAACTTCCTGGATTGTCTGTGCACTGCTGTATTGCTCTCCCAGCAGGTGTCAGGGTGATTGAAGTCCACCATCAGAACCAGGGCTTGTGATCTGGAAACTTCAGTTAGTTGTCCGAAGAAAGCCTCGTCTACCTCATCCTTCTGATCCGGTAGTCTATAGCAGATGCCCAATGCACTCCAGTAGGTATTTGCAGTGACATAGCATAGCTTTTTCAGAACAAGGTAGCATTTCTTAGTTAACTGGAATACAGCATCTGAGAACCCTTAAGCTTCACTTTTCCAGGTTAACCTAAGTCAGAGTCCATATTGGCAGAAGCAACTGCACCAACGTACAATGCTCTCCTAGGACCCCTCTTGGCTCTCCGTCCCTCTGTCAGTCTCTGAGTCTGCGATTTCCTCAGTCCTGAGTGAGCATGTATACGCTGCAGCTGGGAGCAAGCTTCCCAGCCTGGGTAGACAAACTAATGCTGACAGGGTTCGAGCTACCACACTAAAAATAGCAGTGTGGAAATTGAAGCTCTGGCAGTGACTCAGACTAGCCACCTGAGCTCATACCCAGCTCAGAGAGCCTCAGCAGCCATCAGAGCTGCAGCATCCACACTGTTATTTTTAGAGCACTAGCTTGAGCCCTAGTAACACTAGTGTGTCTGTGCGAGCTGGGATGCTCACTCCCAGCTGCAGGGTAGACATTTCCTGTGTCTCAGGCAGCACCCTTAAAACATAGTCTCTCAGACTCTGTTTTTATTCCCCTGCGTTCAGCCCATCCTGGGCTACCAATCATTAGAAGTTAATGTTCCAGTCTTTGGGTCTTTCAGTCATATGTGCATATATATCCATCCATGCTTGACTGGTGCATCTGAACAGACTATCTCTGAGCCCCTGTTCTGGGCAAGCAGTTTCACCGCTATTCACACAGTGGGTAGGAATACAAAGTCAGTGGGTAAACTGAGTCACATATATTGGTCATACACATATTACCAAAAATCCCTCATTAACCACACAGTGTCACATCAGAGAATGATTCAGTATGTGATACTATGGAGGGAAAACCTAAATCAGAGACAGTAGGCTAATTACTGGGCCAAATTCTCCCCTCAGTGACACCCAAGCAATTCTACTTATTTCAGGTTGATTCCAGTGGGATTGAATGTGTGCAACTACAGGCAGTACTTCCCTCCCTGTATGTACTGAATGCCTGTCACTAGCTGCTGTTTGGTGTATTCAGAGTTTAACCTCATAGTTCATTTAAAAAATTTTGCACAGTTACCTTTACATATAGATGATATTGCACAAATATTTTCAAATTTATTTTTGTATTAATTTACTTTCCTTGCAGTTTTAAAATCTGTTCCATTGAATTTAATTAAGTAAGTGATTTGTATGTGGGAGTCATGAATTATTGTTCTGTCTTTTTAAAATTTCAACTGTAACAATTGAGTTCACCATAATGAAGACCCAAGTCTTTTCTTGTACTCTTAGGCATCAACACCCACAGAACTCCCACAGATAAAATCTAAAAGTATTGAAAACAGCAAGAGGAGAGTGACTCAGTTACAACCACCTTTGGGTCAAAGTGGAATAGCATCAATCTCTGATCCTGTTAGTGATTCTGTTGTCCATTTGATGCCTTTAAGTAAAGATGGACCGGGAACAACTTCTTCAGAATCCTTTCAGAGAGGCTGTTCTGTGTCACAGCAAGAGGCAGATAATTTGGATGAAGAACTAGATTTACTGCTAAATTTAGATGCTCCTGTTCATGTAGAAAACAACTTCCTGTCAGAAACCCACAACACGACAGCTGAGAGCAATTTGAAAATGGAAAATGGTGAGATTTATATTTTTAACTCCTTTTTAGTTTTTATGTTCTTTCTGTAGTGATGCTTTTAGTTAAACTCCTGATTAGTAAGTCAGCAATGCTTCTCTAATCATCCCCATATCCCTGACAGTGTATGTCATTGATTTGGAGTTGCGTAGGAACACATCTGTTCATTCTCATTCTCCCTGTCAGGTGACCTTTCAGAGAGGCACCTCTCTTGTTTAGTACTTTGACATTCCAAAACTTACTGCAGTTGCTTGTGGTTGAAAATCATGATGAAAACTGAACTGTATACGAGTCTTTCATACATACTGTGGTAGAACAAATACATTCCTCTGCCCCAACTTTTTTTTACTACTTATAGCATAGTGGAATATGGTGCTTTCCAGTATTAGACCTTTCGGTACTAGATCATATTCTGACTCATAACTTGGCTCATTCTAAACACATTATTTAGAAAATGTACTCACTAAAATATGCATATTCTTTGACTTCCAAGAATAGGTCTATAAGGAATAGACACCATTTTTAAATAGGATGAAATGTGATGGACTGAGTTGTATGTCTTGCCAGTAGTAACTGGTGATCCCATAACTATAATAGAGCAGGAAGTCATATTCCTTACTGTATGCTGTATAGCAGAAAAAAATCTACAGCGCTAAACTCAGGTCTGGGCAGATAAATAATTTTGGATCTTAAACTGTTTTTTTGTTCAGTTCATCTTCAATTTTTTCAGGCTGCTTTAAAAAAATGCCCATAGTGTGTGTAGTCCTTTAGGACCCTAGGCAATGGACCACTTTGTCTGCTTTCAGCCTTCTTTTCTTCAAAGCATACCCCTCTCTCTTCCCCAAGCAGAATTGCTGGACTCAAATTGTTGGCCTCTGATCTTAGAGATACTTCTGGGCTTTGTGCCAGCTTCCTTCTACTCCCCTCCCCCAGCTCTGTTGTAGATGTTATGTCCCCTGTGTGAATGAAAGGGCAGGACCTAGCATCCACAAGATGCAGCTCACTGTGAGATGGGGAGGGGTTTAGTTCCCAGAATGAAGGAAAAGGAGCCAGTCAGGACTTGCATGCAGAAATCCTGACTGAATTGTGCCTGACAGAGAACACAGATGCCTCCCTCCTCACTGCTGTAGAGCCCCCTCAGCAACCTCCCTAGGCCCCAAGGACCTCCACTCTAGATGAGTTAATAACCTTAGAAATGAAGTAACATCAGTTTGCAAGAGTAGAGCTAATAACATCGCAGAACAAGATCCTATTACCTGCAGGATACTTTTGCTTCTCTATCTGAGCTAGAATTGAAAAAATGTCCTGTCAACAGCAAGATACTCAGCAGTAGTTACTATGCTGCTTTTGGATCTAGCAGACCGCACAGTGATGTATCTGCCAAAACACATTAGGCAGAAAACTGGTGTACATAACTGATGAAACGTTTCCACCCTATAATACAGAAAGTGATGTTCCACTGAAGAGTTTAATGGAATTTTCATTTTCAAGGACAATGAGTAACATCAGTGAAGAACTTTACTGTAGTCAGCATGCTCATTTTGAACATTTTAAGAGATCGATAGAGCTCTTCTGCAACGTGGTACCTTAGTTGGCAAAGTTTAAACACGTAACGGCTCACTGCTCGGGAGTTTTCTGTCAATGAAAGATTTCAGTAGCCTTTTGAGTGGCAGTGCTATTACTCAGTTACTAACCTTTTAATAAGCCTGGGGAAAACACACAGGGGTTTGTTTCTGATGACAGGTTTTAAAATACTTTTTAAACTTTTGTCTTCTACATTTTTTTTAGAAAAATATATTCTTAACTGCAATTATGTCTGATTCATAAGAGTAATATTAACTAACGTAATTTCCAAAGCTTTAGGACTCAAAAATGGGTATAATCCTTGAGTGAAATTTACTGAAGATGCTAAGTACAGTAGAAGCTTGCTAATCCACACCGAAACAATTGGTTATCTCTTCCAAATTCTCACCAGTAACGAGGTGTCATATTACTATGATTCCATTATTTTTACAAAATATTTTTCACATCATTTACTAATTAAATATAATTAGGGAGATGAACCTCTGTAGGTAAAGACTGAAGCTAGATGCCTCTTATAAACCCAATTTTCATCATTCCTCCATCTTCACCAAAACCAAAAGTGAGGTACCTGCATATCTTGGCTCAGGATAGATTGTGGAAAGCATAGATGTAGTAAGGCTTTCATATTTTGAAAATTATCCTAATACCTATTGGGCTTATGTATTCAAATTCCTGTCTAGGAAACTCCAGTATATTTTATTCTGTTGGTCCCTGTGGCAACATCTGCACTATGGAGTCTATGCTAGCATAGCCCCCTGTGTGGAAACACTACCATGCCAAAGGACAGAAGCACTCTTCCATTGACAGAGCTGCATCTGTGCTGGGGTTTTGTCAGCATAACTATGTCTGTTGGGGGGGGGGGGGGGGGTTGTTTTTTTCCACACTGCTGACTGACCTATCTAAGTTAAGATAAAGCTTGTCTAAGACTTGGTCTACACTTAAAAGTTAAGTGTTGATTTAGTTATATATTAATTGCAGCTTTCCTATACATACTGAAATCTGCATGGCCCCTTAATGCTTTAGAAAAGGATGTAGCTGGCAGGATTTTGCTGAGCCTGCAACGTTTTTCAAAGAGTTCAATAAAGAGATGTTTAAATGTTCATTTTCATGCTTTCCACCAAAAAAAACCCAAAAGATGTGAAACTGAAATTGTAATTTACAGCTTCTCTCACACTGGTGATTTTACTGTTTGTTGTTAAAAATTCTGAGGTTAAGGTTGTACATTTGAGAAACTGCCACCATGAACAGAGCAAGAAACCTTGAGCTGTTACTACAGAGTGTAAAAAAAGACCTTGAAATAGCACATCTGAGAATGATTTCTGTGATATTTCATGTTTTCTTAGAAGATTTGCATTAAGTGAAAAATAAAATGCAAACATAAATGTGTAGTCACTAAGATAACCCTCTAATAATCACAAAAGGAGCTCTGCTGCCATGATCTCCTGCTGATCTCTCACATAAGAGGAAGTCTGCATGGGACACGAGACAAGATCTCAGTAGGGGGGTGGAGTAGGGATCAGTTAGGAATCTTGTAGACTGGAAACTTAGCCCTGTTAGAAGCTATAAGCTCTTCTTTTACAGTGGCCCTAAAAAAATCCAGCAGATTAGTCAGATGGCAGCCACCTAATACTGGTTGCTAACTCACCTGCTTTTTTGTGATTTCTCCCAGTTAGCTGACATACACTCTATTTAAATGTCATCCTTTCTTTTTATTCAATCAGGAACTGAAAAGCAAAATGCTAACTTTGTCATATCTCAAAAGTTTCCATAGTGCAAAGATAAACTTTACATCGAATTGTTTCCTGTATTTATTTTCTTAGTTCCGCTCGAGTTGGGTGTGACTGAAGAAATGAGTTCAGCATCTGAACAGCAGAAAACTACATCTAAAAACATTACTGAGGAAGAGCTTGAAGATTGGTTGGATAGTATGATCTCCTAAAGCCCACATTTCATTGTCATGCAAGTAAATGAAAAATAAATGAACGTGGCAGAAGTTAAGTACAAAATATCAGTCTACAAGAATTCACTGAACTAGCTGCTTCATCTCAGTGATTTAATATACTGAATGCATACTTTTATTTCAGCCAATATCTGAAATAACACATTTGGATAAATTCTAAATGAATGTTATCTAAGTGTTCTCTAAACAAAAAGGTCTAAAGTTACAATTGAGTTCATTAAAAAGGATCTTGTAATGAAATTAGGATTTTTTCAAAAACCTGTGCTTATAATGTAAGATGCAAAATAATACACACTGACAGAGCGTTTGTTTCTACTTCTACTTGCTATCTATAAGTTCCAAAAATAAAATAGTGTTAGTAAATATAGTTGTGTGTTTAACTGTGCATCCTGTGTTGTATCAGCTTTCTATTATGTAATCAGCCAAAAATAAGGCAAAGACAACCCAATTACTATTTATTTGGTTATTGCAGCGGGCATTTAATTTTATTTGAAGAAAAATGCATAAAGGTAGCAACTTCACTACTTACAGATGACCATAAAGCATTATTTAATTTTGGCCTTTTAACAGCAGCATCTTACCAGCTGTTATTGAAAGAAGTATATGAATAACCTTCAAGTGCAATTTCATACAGTACGATGGAAAAGCAACACAACTAATTAATAGAACTGTCAATCTAAAACACTAACATAAATAAAAACCTTGCATAGCTATGTCTACAGAGGTTTTAAGGCACTTAATCGATATTTCAAGGTCGATAAAGTGTTTGAAAATTTTTCTTTGACTGCTTAAAGCTTTTCAAGCTGTATCTTGATACATTCACTAGCAAATACCAAGGGAAAAATTAGACTGCAGTTAAAATGTTTAATTTCACAATGTGAGTCATAGTCACCTGACATTCAAGTGCTTAAGATTCAGATATTGTGCATTTAAGAAATGATGTCTCTTTTAGCCCTTTCAACTATACCACCAAACATTGGGTCAAAAACAGTTACAATTTCAGTCTCCGTTTGAATTGGAAAGTTTAAGGTAACTAAATCTTCAATGTATAGATCCCCCCCTTTTTTTTTTTCAAAAGGAAAATTGAAATCCAGACTATAAGGCCCTTGTCTTATCTGCTAGGCACAAAAATCCTAAGTGGATGGTTTTAAACAAGTTCACAGTAAAGAGATGGTAAACAAATGTGACCTTTGAATTACACTATAAAAGGTAAGTTTTTAATTTTTACTGGGTTTTACATTTCATTAACATATTAGCTTCTTTCATGATAAGTTTATCCAAGTTGATCCTCATATTGTTTACGGAAGCAATCTCCAGCTGGGAAGAAATCCCAGCATCTTTCTTGGTACATTTTCCATACAAATGATTCCTGAAACAGAAGGAGAAAAAAGGTGTTTTAATTTTAAGATATGTTTATTTTCAGTTATTGCTTTATACAAAATAACCATAATTAGTACTGTCCTTACAATGACAGGTTTCAGAGTAACAGCCGTGTTAGTCTGTATTCGCAAAAAGAAAAGGAGTACTTGTGGCATCTTAGAAACTAACCAATTTATTTGAGTATAAGCTTTCGTGAGCTACAGCTCACTTCATCGGATGCATACTGTGGAAAATACAGAAGATGTTTGTTTTTATACACACAGACCATGAAAAAATGGGTGTTTATCACTACAAAAGGTTTTCTCTCCCCCCACCCCACTCTCCTGCTGGTAATAGCTTATTTAAAGTGATCACTCTCCTTACAATGTGTATGATAATCAAGGTGGGCCATTTCCAGCACAAATCCAGGGTTTAACAAGAACGTCTGAGGAACAGTGGGGCGGGGGGGGGAAAGGAATAAACAAGGAGAAATAGGTTACTTTTTATAATGAATCAACCATTCCCAGTCTCGAATCAAGCCTAAGTTACTTGTATCCAATTTGCAAATTAATTCCAATTCAGCAGTCTCTCGTTGGAGTCTATTTTCAAAGTTTTTTTGTTGAAGGATAGTCACTTTGAGATCAGAAATCGAGTGACCAGAGAGATTGAAATGTTCTCCGACTGGTTAATGAATGTTATAATTCTTGACATCTGATTTGAGTCCATTTATTCTTTTACATAGAGACTGTCCAGTTTGCCCAATGTACATGGCAGAGGATACAATTAACTTAGGCTTGAATAGAAACTGGGAATGGTTGATTCATTATAAAAAGTAACCTATTTCTCCTTGTTTATTCCTTCCCCCCCCCCCCCACTGTTCCTCAGACGTTCTTGTTAAACCCTGGATTTGTGCTGGAAATGGCCCACCTTGATTATCATACACATTGTAAGGAGAGTGATCACTTTAGATAAGCTATTACCAGCAGGAGAGTGGGGTGGGGGGAGAGAAAACCTTCTGTAGTGATAAACACCCATTTTTTCATGGTCTGTGTGTATAAAAACAAACATCTTCTGTATTTTCCACAGTATGCATCCGATGAAGTGAGCTGTAGCTCACGAAAGCTTATGCTCAAATAAATTGGTTAGTCTCTAAGGTGCCACAAGTACTCCTTTTCTTTTTGTCCTTACAATGTACACATATTACAATTGATGGCAGAGGACATTATACAACCTTTATAAACGTATTGTTGAAACCTGCGCTAAAGTTTAACTGGTTTCAGAGTAACAGCCGTGTTAGTCTGTATTCGCAAAAAGAAAAGGAGTACTTATGGCACCTTAGAGACTAACCAATTTATTTGAGCATAAGCTTTCGTGAGCTACAGCTCACTTCATCGGATGCATACTGTTTAAAGTTTAACTGTGCAGCTTTCTGTACGTAAATACCCAGAAGTAAATTTTCAGGGCATAGTGAGAGAAAAGTGTCTCTTACGGCTAGTCTACACTACTGTGCTACATTGTTCACAGCTGCACCTACTCTGCTGTAACATGTCTGACGCCGCCTCAATGAGAGGCGGAATCTGTGGACACTGCTTTCAGTCAATGTAGTGCGACATAAGTTACACTGACTTAAGCGGTGTAGACAAGCCCTCAGTCATGGTCTATGAAATGTTACACCAGTGTCATTAAATCAATTTCATTATCCCAGTGCAAACCCCCATGTACAGGCACAAACTGTTTTTAGCTCATAGGGTAAGTTACAAAATCAAGCTAAGCCAATTAAATGTGTACTGAGGCTTCGTACTAATACAACTAGATAAACTGTAAATCAGTTTAGCTACCAGTGGACTTTTCTTTGTTCTGAAACTTCATCATTTTAAATGTACATAAATATTCTTTTAGATAATCTTGGACACATCCAATATAAAATACGCATTTAACAACTATTGTATTGCAAATTAAGCCTTCCTAATTAAGGATTTTTTTTTCAAGTTTAAACAAATATAAGTACAATTTAAAACAAAACTTTTAAAGAGAAAGTTAAAATATTTGTGTCCCATTAATTCTGAACCTGTCAAACATTTTTTGAATAAATATCCTCATATTAGTATCTTTAATTATACAAATTTTAAAAATCTGATGGTCTTTTTCTCCCAGCTTGGACAATTAAACATGAATCAGTTGCACATTTGAAAATAACTAGAACCAATTTCAGAACAATGCATTTTTTAAAAAGAGGAAACAATTCTATGGGTCTAAGGTTTTATAATGGCTTATTTTTACAAATTAAATCAACATACAAAAACTACATTGTGAAACAGGGTTGTTATTTGCTACTTGACACACAAACACAGATACAAAAAGTATATTTAAAAGTATGTATCCTCTGCTCTGCCAGCCCCACACCTTACCACAGACCACAACCTTAACTCCGCATCCCCTACCTATGGTAGCCTCCCAATGCTAGTAGTTTGGTGTGTTGGGAAGGGTTAGTTTAGTAGTGTGGTGATGTCAAGACTGAAGTTTCATACTCAGACCTTGAAGATGAAAATATGAATTTATGCTTCATTTTAGCCTGCTCTGAAAATTCTACTTCATACTCACCTGACCAGTGTGCTCAGTTTCATCCTTATTAATGAGATACATTAGAAAGAAGCTGAAACAAGCACAAGAAATATTTGTTAATGTGCAAAATCTAACACGGCATTTTATATTTCCTGACAAACGGAGATGAGGTGTAAGGCAAACTGCACATTAGCTAACAAAACTAACAAAATAGCGTTGAGGTTAGTTGTGAACATGTTATAAAGTTAGAAGCATTCGTTCAGGGCCAGATTCTGTCCTCTGAGTTCCCTCCCCTCTGCAGTTTTTAGTTCCTATGATACTATTAATACAGACACTGGATGTGAAATCCCAGTTATCAGTATCAAAGGTAATCTACCTTATCTCATTTTATTATTAGCAAAGAGAAAGTTAAAGGGTGATTTGATTACAGTCTATAAGTATCTACATAGGAAAGGAAAGATATATTTAATAATGGGTTCTTCAGTCTAGCAAAGAAAGGTACAACATACTCCAATGGGTGGACGTTGAAGCTAGACAAAATCAGACTGGAAATGAGGTGTAAGTGTAACAGTGAGAGTAATTAACCATTGGAACAACTTACTAAAGCTTGTGGAGGATTGTCCATCATTGATAAAATCAAGATTGGATGTTATGCTTGGGGAATTTCTGTGGCTTGTGTTATACAAGAGGTCAGACTAGATGATCGCAGTGGTTTCTTCTGGCCTTGTAATCTATGAATTTCCTTATGTGGCTTGAATTTACTTTGGGCATTTCTTCACAGCAGTTGTGTAACTTGCACAACGTGTGCCTGACTTCTGTGCACACGTAAAAATATCTAGCTTGATTTAAGTAGTACTTTAAACTTGAGCTAGCTGGCCCAGGAGGGGGCTGTCTATTGAAGATTGGGGGGGTGCTTACACTCAAGCTAGTAATGCAGTAGGGACTCAGCTACTTAGTGTTGCTAATCAAGTCACTGTATACAGTTTGAGTGTTTTGCAGTGTGATTGCTCTCACTTGAACTAAGCTAACTCAAAAGGAGTTAATTGAGTGTAGGTGATTGGAACTAACACTGCACTGAAGACAAGCCCTATAACAACATTGGTTTTATAATTTGTATCTTAGCATACAGTCAAGCACTATTGAGGAAATTCTGTGTCTAGTTTGAGTAACTTGCTAGGTACTGAGGGTCACCGTGAAAGGAATTAATGCAGAGTATGGGCTAGAGTAGCCTCTAGGGCTCATACACATTGGGGGGGGGGGGGGGGATTCAAGAGCTGCATAATTTTTCCCTAGACGTCACCCAGCATAGCCTCACAGGGATATCCTAGCCCTTTTGGGCTGGGACTTTAAAAGCATACTAGGGAAGTTAGGCTTAGACACCTAACTCCCACTGAAAATCCCAGCCTTGTTTTCTCTAAGAATGTTTAAATGACTGGAAATACGCTC